TATTATAATGTTCAGAGCTACACATACTAGCGACTATTTTCGCACTGCTTGGAACCGTCAAAATTAGTTGACCACGTGAATTGGCAACAGAATAATGGATTCACTGTATGGCTGGATTAGTTAGGCATTACCAGCTATCAAAATTTGTTGCCAAAACGTGTCTCTTATCGTGTTAAAACTTGTGTTATATACTGTTACAAAAAAAAATGGCATTTCGGACAGGAAGCCTTGGAAACAATGGATATTAGATATCTCATTGAAACAGTAAAACCCTTGACTGAGAATCGTTCAAGCCAGGTATTAAATATTCATTGTACAGTAGAGTGTAGCATCATCACAAGCTCTCCTCGATGTCTCATTTTTTGTTGTCGGCCGTATCTATTTAGCATTCTGATGATAAAATTGGGACAATTTGGTTTATTTGTGCTAAACATCAATCAAAAATGCAAAATAATGATGTTAGGTACAGCGCCATCACGAGAAGAAAAAAAAACTGAATATAGGCAACCGGTGCACCTAACTGCAGCGTAAATGCTTTTGTTCAAATTCAAATATTTTGTAGTCTCTCAAATTTTACCAAACTGTAGACGGGTTGTAAAGTATAACAGCGAGACAGAGAAGGAGTCTCTGGTTGATATAATGGATAAATTTAAATATATAATTGAAAAAAAGAAACCCTCCGGCTTGTCCATACATCTAAAAAACAATACTTAAGAGGAAGTAACAAAAATATATAACGAGATCAATACACCTAAATGAACTAGGAAGCGGCTATAATAATTATGGGATAACATCAAAAAAAGGTAAGTAAAACATTTTTGCAACAGCTATGTGAGCATTACCAATTGAAAAAGATTAGTTCATCGAGACTATGCTTATTCACCTATCTGTTGCAAATAGTTCTTCTGACCGATGTTTTTTGTGGTCCCACAATTTGTTGAGTTGTTTGCTGGTTATTATGTTGTTACGCTTGGCGCCAAGGCGTCAAAAAAAAATAAAGTGTATAATATGCAATAATCAGTCTTCATCAAACATTGTTAAGCTTTAGCTAAAGAAAACTAAATCAGTACTACAGTGGTCTCTTAAGAACAAAATAGATAATGTATTCTTGTTTCCAACATTTTATAAAAAAAAGAGACAACAAAACAAAAGTAACAACTTATGGGCTATTGTGTTACGCTCGGCGCCAGTGATACGCTTGGCGCCAAGGCATCAAAATGCTATGTCTTTTACACAACCTGCTGGGCAAGCTGATGCGTTACTAAAGATATGCCTATGGTAAGTATGCGCAACTGGATGGTGAAACAGATACCAGTGATCTTAACCTAATGGATAATGATACAACAACAAATCGGGTGTTCCATATTCCAGCTGTCCCAGAAACCTGAAGTTTTACATAAATAAACCTTACAGCCTAATCTGACCAATCCCTGGAATCACCTGTTGGAGGTCACCTGGTGGTGTCAACCAGCCCTCAGATGGTCAAATGTAGGCATGCAGCAGGAAGCAAATGATGTTGAAGTGAAGAAGAAACAGAATAAAGAAAAAGGCCTAGAGTGTAGGGTGGCCTTTAATGTAGAGGGAAATCTTCCAATCTGAATAATCCCACAATACTAGTGGTGCGCCTATAGCACTTGGAATTGTGAAGATTTCTCTTTTTCAGCTATTTTCCGGTACCATATCCGCCTTTGCGTAACAGACGCTCCGTTCGGTACCGAAAATTTGCAATGGCGATCCCTTTTCTTTTTTTTTCCTTGTTGCCCGCGTCTCGCGCCTGACATTTCCACGCCAGTTGACATGCTATCATTCACACCTTTGACAGTGACAGCCGACTTGACACCTGTCCGCAAACTTCATTGCTATTAAGGTTTTAAAATTGTAAACAATGACTAGGGTGGCTTCAGGGGCACTAATTTATGAAAGGGAACAAGTAATTTGACTTCAATAGTGTGAGTTAAGTATCTGCTACTTATTAAGTTTTGTTTCAGACTCGCTAGGGCAGGTCCACCAGAAGGGAGCGGATCAACAGGTGAAAACAGGAACTAAAATGCTATGTACAATGTATATACCCCTATACACAATAAATTTTAGCAAGGGTACGAGATCCATATATTCTTATCTATCTATATCGTATTTTATGAACTAGCAAACGAGTAAGTAGTAGAGAACCTTCTAATTCGTAAAATCTATGCAGTCGTAGCGCCCTTAGGGGACGTTTGTCGACCTATGCTTATATAAACTTTTCTTAATATTTTAAGCTCTAGAAACCGCTGGTAAAATATTGCATACTTTTTTCGGGACACCCTACCCTGTATAGCTACGTCGATTCGTGAAGTAAGACTACAAAAAAAATTGTGAAATTACGGCGTAACTCGGTTTTAGACTATTTGTCATGTACGCCTGTACGTGCGGAGACCGACGATATGTATGAACTTAAAACCGGCAGGCTTATTACGTAAAAATTTCCAACTCTGATCGGTGAGCAACCGACCACCAACCGACTTGCGACCGACTGTCGACCGACCGAAAAATTCGTATTCGCTAACGAAATTGGCAACCGGTTGCCCAACTGTCATTGAATGCAGTTGAATGCAGTTTTTGCGACCGAAACAGCGCCACTAGCAATCGAGTAGCAACCGGTGGAATTAATAAAGTGACAGACGACAGACGATGGTAAACAATAAAACAATCGTGTTTATAAATCGAAGAATGATAAATACATTGTGGATCGTGATTGTGAATTTCAAAATTAACTATGTGACCTAGTTGTGCTGGAAACTGAATACGTAAGTATATAATACGATTTACTTTTCTTAAAAAGGCATTTCTTTTTAGTGTGAGCTACAGATGTGTGTATGTTTACATAGTCAAGAGTAGGCGGGTACGACACACTTAATATAAACACAGACTTAGGTGCAACCAATTAAAGGAAGTAAAATTGGCTAATTGGTTGCACGTGGCTCAACGGGTGAATTAAAAGACACGCCTATAGATCTAGGATGCTGCTTGTTCAGTAAGGGCTGCAAAAGTGCCAGAAAACGCGAATATAGGGTTTATTTATCTTTGAGATTTTGTCTAGGAGGTTTTTGTGTTATCAAAATGGAAAATCGAGTCTCAGCATCGCAAATAGATGAGCTACTTGACTTCTTAGAAAGTCATCCTAGCTTAGCCAAGGGTAGTGTTGGGCTTGGGGGAAGATCAAAAGAGACAATTGAAAGAAAATAGGACGAATTAGCAATATGTATGAATGGTCATGGTACTGGAGCTACAAAGAATGGAAAACGCTGGAGAAGGGCGAGTTTATCTTAGGTTTCATTATCATTTTGTCATCTGATTCAGAATTTTTACAATTGTGCTGCATCTTATTTTTCATCATAACATTAGAACTTAGCTTGTACTATGTCCATTATTCTGTTGTATAATTGTGTAACTTGAGAAACGATTGCATTTATCCATTTTGGCAGTGATTCAATTTTTATTAATTTTATAGGACTACACTTTTTTCTATCAGAGTTTATAAAAGTGTTATATGAAACTTTTTTGTTCTCAGATTACTTTCAAAAACACATAGTTTTATTCTGCATTGTCATAATTAAAAAAGCAAAAACTGGTAGTTTGAGAATAGTTTCTTTAATTCATTGTATTTGTCCCTTTAAAATAGTTGCTACCTTTTTTTAATATTTGTAAACAGGGTAGTTTTCTGGGACTGTTGGTCATAAAAAGGCATTTTGTTCCATGTACATATATGGTTTTATTCATACAATATTTTTTTTACAGTACTGGATTGACCTTAAACATAGGGTGAAATCTAGAGTTGCTCAATATAGACAGGATGTTACGGGTACAGGTGGAGGGCCTGCTAATGTGGAGAGCTTTTCTGAAATAGATAGGAGGATTATGGCTCTATTGGGAGAGGCAGCCATATTTGGAGACACACAGCATCAAGTCCCATTTGGTGTAAGTACATCACTATTGCATAAATTCAAATAGGATTAATATTAACCAATGAAAAACCAGTGTATATTCTCCATCTGTATTGATCGCTTAATGGAACCTCATTTAATTTGAGAAAGATTTTACTTCCTGGCACTCCTCATCGTATTCCTACACTTGATCACGAGATAGAAATAAGTACAGAGTTCCACTTCAAGTAAGAAAAATACAAAGTTTCATTTTAGCTTTCGTATTTGTTTATTTCTTTTCATCAAACATAGTTATTTCAAATCATCGGTTAATCATTTTTAAAATAAATTTATTTAATTATGGGGCCAGTCAATAAATAAAGCTAAAACAAAATCTGGTGTAATTGAACAGCATTTCATTAATTTAATTGAAAGATATAGAAAACCAAGGAAATTACAGGACACGTTTCATTAATTGCATTAAACAGTGATTTCATCACATTTCACTATATAGTCATATAAATATTTACATTTGAAAATTAGCATAGAATTCTGAATTTATAGTTGTAATTTGTAAATTGCTTCACTTACTTTTTTTTTAGGATTCCATTGTTCAGCCATTAGAGGTTGTGGAAGAACAAATTGAAAATATATCAGGTAAATATTATTTGAATAACAAACAAAAATTGTAGAACTTATATCTTTCACTAGTGATTTCTTCTTCTGCAAATATCACATATCTTTGCAACTTGGAAATAAACCAAAAATTCATTACAAAGATGATGTTCAAGAGACCAAAGCTGTATCCAATAGAGTTAATTGTTCCAAGAATAATATTTTTTTTTTTACTTATAAGCACATTGAAGCATAATTATAACACAGAGAAAAAGGTTTTGTACAAGTCTTTCTATAGCTTTCTGGGACCTAGGTGTTATAATATGCCCCATGAAGAATTACAACAAAAAAGCTCGCTAGGACTATTTACAAAGAAAGTAAAGTAATGAATAATGATTTAACCAAGGTCTCATGCACACCAAATTATTGATCAAAAAAATTGTTGAAATACTAAAGTATACAAAAATATTTTAGACAGTATTCCGCTATGTAACTTTCACCCAAATTGAGACAAAAAAAAAAGACAGCATATTGTGTTGAGTATTTTGTATTTTTTCTTTACCTACGGGTTTTCCATTTATTTGTCTCGATATAATTTGTTTTGAGTATAGTGTAATTCTTGTAGACAAATGTTTATGATTAATTGAGACCTTTTTGATTTTCAGAACCATGTCCTTCAACATCAGCTGTTCAGCCAGCACCAGAAATGGAATCGAAAAGAGAAACGCCATCTAGTTAGTACTTTTTATTTAAAATTTTGTTGGAAAATACAAAGATATGCTTTGGTACAATACATTTTTCAATACTGACAAAGGCAACACAATTACCAGCTTAACCATTAAAACGATATAACAGCATATTATGAGTTTTATAAATAACAAACTTTTTTAATCTGGAGTTTAATTGTAATTCCTTTTGTGCATGAGTTATATAGATTTTTATTTTCCCTAGGTGCATCAAGCCCTCTTTCACGACGCCCTACAAAGAAAAGACGTGTAAGCCCAAGTGAGTACATGCTATAACTGCCTGTCATGTTACAGTCTACATGGTCTTAGGTCAAGCTTTGACCTTTGTAATTATCTTGCGGTAGTTGGTTAATATTAAAATCATTCTGTCCAGTACTTTTAAAAAAGATAAATCAATGAAATCAATTGAAGTTGACAAAAAAAATTTCTTCTATTACAGTTCATGGAAGATAAACAGGTCTGATGTAATCCAACTCGCAGTAAACTGTTTGAAAAAATATAATTTCTTGCATAATCCTCTTATAGCTCATAAGTTAGGCAGCTGTACCTATTTTGTTTTTTCGTTAGGATATCGTAAGAGAGTCAGTAATGACTGGGTCATTGAGTTGGAAGAAAAGAGGGTTGAAGCTGAGGGAAAACTTGGCAGTGCAGCACTGGTGATGGCAGAAGCAAGCCGGATACAGGCAGAAGCAAGTCGCATGCAGGCAGAAGCAAGTCGTATGCAGGCAGAAGTGGCACTGATGCAGATGAAAGTCACTCAAGAAATGTCGTCAAACATATCTAAACTATTAGAAATTCTGAAAAAATAAAGTATTTTCATGATTATTGTTCCTTTGTTTTACGTGATTTTAGACATTTTATAGAAGATTTGCACAAGCCAATTTACTGGATTGTTCCAAAACCATCTCTCTTAAATCATTTCCTAACAATCACCCCTGACCATTTTTTGTAGTCAAACCGAAAATCATTTATAATTCCAAATATGATAGGAAGTTTCAACAGGTTTACAAGATTATTTTATTGTATTTAGAATTGTAATTGCTTGACAATTGACGAAAAGAAAATAGTGGTGTCATTACAAAAAACGCAGGAGTGTTTTTTCTGATATTTGGGTTTGAGGATTATGAAACAGATAAAGAGATTTTTTTTTATTTTTACGATTGTATTTAGAATCAATGCTTAACAATGCTATAATAGATACTGAAAAACATGAACAGGTAAAAATAAACCTTCCCAAAAAACTAATTCTAAAAACTTGGGACTTTTTTTGACAGTGATTGAAAATTTGAAGTATTTCATACAGTAGCTAATAAAAACAAAATAATGGAGAAGACACACATTTACACTCTTGAGGCACTCCACAAGCGTTGCACAATGTTAGTCCGTTGTTGGCGACCCCTCTCCAACAATGCTGATTCTTGAGCACCAGTATCAACCATGACTTGTGCTTGTAAGGGTATTTGGAGATTCAATTCCTCATGGATGGCTTCCATTGGTAACTCTGAAAATGGTACATTATGTCTGTTGCAGATGTTATGCAACACAGCACAAGCATTTATCATTTTTGCCACCATATGGTGATCATAATGTAATACCCTATGTACCAGAAGACAACGCCACCTTGCTTTTAATACTCCTATGCATCGCTCTACAGTATTCCTGGTAAGGCAATGCATATTAGTGTAATGTTCTTCTGCAGTACCAGGTTCTGCATTTATAATGGGTGTTAGGAGCCAGGGTCTTAACGGATATCCCGAGTCACCTGCAAAAATATACTTTTCATTATTACTCATCTTCAAGCAGGTATATAACAACAATTATAATTGAAAAACATACCAAGCAACCAAAATCTTTCACCATGGCTGGCAAGCTCTCTCAAGTGTCTATATGCATGAGAGTTTTTCCAAATATAAGCATCATGTGTAGCTCCACCAAATGAGGCATCAATGTCTAAAATGTTCAGATCGCTATCACATATCTGAAAAGAAATAATTATAGATGAACTAACTTAGCTTAGTAAATTAGATAATTACAGAATTAAGATTTAAATACCTTCATTAAGACGACATTAATTAAGACTTATTAATAATAATAAAAGATCCATTATTGGCTTTCTATGAACATACATCAAAATGCATAATTATGGCTGAGTTAGCCACAATTAAAGTCAAAAAGATTTCAGTAAATGTTAGTTTGTAGTCTGTATGATGCCTAACATATAAGGAATACAAAGTCTCAGATTTGCTGCTGTAAAGTATTGTTACTTTTGCAGATAATGAATCTAATGTATTGATCAATATTAATTTATTCTTTTTGTCAATACAAAATTTAAACTTCCATAGCAGTAAAATGTCATCAGGTAATGTAAATGTTCATATGTTGAAAAGTTTTTGATGCAGCCAAACCCACTACCTTCTTAATTGATAGTCCACCATAATTTTGATATGCAACCTTATTTAATATGAATGTGTGCATGTCAATATACTTACTATTTGCACATTTCTGGAGTGATAGTGTTCTCGATTGAAAAATCTTTCCTCATTTTCATTTGGTCGTACCAGAGCTACATGAGTACAATCAATCCATCCCAGACAACCAGGAAATTCAAATTTATTTGAAAATCTGTAATAAATCAATAAGTATATAATAGCTTATAAGCTTCCAATTGTATGAGTAAAGTGATGAAGATTGTTCTCATTCACCACTAGTGTTACTTATTTCATTTTTACGTTGTTTTATAGGTTCATCCATTTCAAGTCGATTAGTTCATCTCATATCTATACATGTATTTTGATAGTACTCAGTAAATAATAGTTAGCAATTACACAATTTCCTTCATGTCTAAGAAAGATGAAGAAAAGTTGTGTCTTGTCTCTTGTTTTTGAAAATAATCATATCCACATAATAATAATTTATAATTACTTTTTCTTTAGTCTACCAGGTGCACATATTTTATTTACTTAGAGAAGACAGAGTAATTATAGCACATTTAAATCTAAGAAGAGGTAGCCACTTCTATTATATATTCTTAATACACTGAAATTTTCAATAAGTAAAAAGTTCGTCTCACGTATGACTGTTTCACACATATGTTTTTTCAGAATAACTATTTATCATGCATTTATCAACATTTGAATAATTACCCATTAATTATAGCACGTCTCTCTTGTGGTGTTTGAGGGAAGTAAATATGCTTTTTTAAAATGTCTGGATGATTGAATGCATTCACCACTTCCATTAGTGCTTTCGATACACTGGGTTGACTGAGCCCATGCCAATAGGTTTCTGGTACGATCCAGTGGCCAGCACTGAAAGTGCTGTTAATACCTAAAATAATTATATATATAGTATTTCTATACACTGTGTAGGAAGCTGGAAGAAGGCTTTTGTTATCATTATAAAGTTCAACGCTTACATTCTGAAAAATATTAGATGTGCAATGCTCCACTACAAGCTTAAGGCGATTTTTTCCATATGACCTCACTTACTTTGGACTCTTCAGTTATTGCTGCTCTCCTTCGCGAACGAGGAAGGTAGGGTGATAGTTCATCGCATAACTGCAAGAATAGCTCCTTTGTGACCCTGTAGTGTGCTCTAAATTCGTCTGCAGGTATATCTAATCCCCTGACTTGTTCACGAAGATTACGCCGTAGGCGAGCAGTTTGGACTCTTCTTTCACTATCCATTGCTTCCATGAGCAACAATGCACGAGCCATCGCGATTCAAAATTGCTGAAAATACAAATTTGGAGCATACAATCACTTCTTAGACTCGTCAAGCTATTTTATTCCTTATTTGAACTTGTTATACTTACCTTTCTTGTTAAAAAAATGAATAAATTTGACAATGTTATCCAAACAAAACACTAGCAACCGACTAGCGACCGACTAGTCGACTACCACAGAGCAGTTGTTAATTTGACAGTTCAAATCGCTAGTAAGTTGCTGTTGGGTCGCTGTCAATCAGTTAGGGAATACCAATTTTTTGATACTCCTAACAAAAGAATGCACTTTTCGTTCACCAGTTGCTCCATAGAGGCGCCACCGTAGCCAGTCGGCGACTGCGACGCACTGACTGATACATAATACGAAATTTGCGTTTGACAGCAACTATCGACCAACTTGAGTCGGTTGACGGTCGGTTGGAAGTTAGGTAATAAGCCTGCCGGTATCTGAGCAACTGTTGCCATTTAATCATCGTTTATCCAAGTCTCAGTAACGCATATCATATCATAGTTGTCAGAAACAACTAAATCAACAAGCTTGTCAAATTAAGTAAACAAAGATCTGACATTAAGGTGACCAAGCTTAAGGGGACTGCTCTGATTATTCATATTGACTATTATTCTTTAGTTCCTGTATTTTGAAGTTGAGGCAAGCGCAGTCGTTACTATTAGCAGAGTGATTAGTTGGTAATCGAGATTTAAACCTATCATTATGATTCTTGGGACAACACAATACATTAGATTTACAATATTTAACTTCGTGCTGCTCTGAACATTTTATACATATAGCTGTATCAGTACGACAATTTTTCTTCATGTTACCAAACTTATTACATAAAAAACAATGAATTACATTTAAATGCTCACACAAACACAAAAGACTTAGCAAACAATATCTTGAAAGTCGACGGCTCAAGCTCCACAATAACATTTATAGACTCACGCCTAATAAAAATGCTACAAATATGTAAAATTATTATCTTGATCCCACTGACTGGTTTGATAATATTTTTGTATAGGTGCGATAAACTTGCTACTTGACAAATAAGCCTTTGAGCGATGAGCAGATCAATGAGCAACAACTCTCAGTAGTCTCGTCATCACCTTTGCAGCACCACGTCTTGGACCTCCCTGGTGCAGCTCCTTTGCTGATTATTCTCGAGAGGCTTTTCGTTGGGGAGGTATTAGTAACATTGTCAGAGTCAGACGGTGAGGTTTTCCTTAAAAACACCTCAATGGCGCTTCCGAGACCTTGCGGATCTACCAGCGACCTAGTTTTGTCGTCCCACATCGCCTTTCCTGGTTTCCTGTCTTTCTGGCTAGATACCTGAAACAAACACCATGATATATTTTGGATTTTATTTGAGTAATTCAAGAGCTCATCCCCGCCTAAAAGCAAGAAAATTAGTTGAAGTGCGTACGTTCTGATAAAGATCTCAACTTTCAACAGACACTCCACATAACATGCACAGTTATTATACTTATAAGACTGAAACAACTTTCAAGAACATTAAGCATTTAAGTACATGTAGTAGCAGTTAAGGAATCTGAATAATCTGTATAATCAAAGCACTTGAAACTACGTCAAGTTGGTACTTTGAACAACCCTGAAATAGTTAAACCAACCTTATCCCTTATGTGCATCAACTGATTGTATGTACAGTGATTAGTTTGTAATTAGTTAAGTTTTTTGCAATATCTATATTCATAATAAAAAATAACAAATACGTACTACTTTTCTTATTTCTGATTTATACTTAATGACATTGGAAGTGTTACACCCAGAAAAAATATTTTTTCAACTTGGTTCTTTCGCAATAAGGTAGTCCTACATCAAGAATGAAACGATAACATTCTCACGAAATTTTATTGACAAGTAGTACGAAAAAAAAAAGAATAATGTGAGCAGCTGAATGAGGTGATCCATGTCTGATTGTGGCACCTCATTCCAAGCAACTCGAACTAACTTCGTGGCAGAGTCTGTGGCGTATGGTGGAAAGTGGATAGTCTCCTCCCCAGTATATCCCATACATGTTCGATGGGATTTAAATCCAGTGAATGGAGTGGCCACGGCAAATCATTAACGCCTGTATCTTGAAGAAAGTCCGTAATATGACTAGCAATATGGAGACGTGCATTGTCTTGATGAAAAAGGACGTGTGGACCACCCTCTAGATACGCAGCATATTGACGTGAACAAATAGAAGGAGTGATCTACTACCATAGGCAATAGCTCCCCAAACCATTGCTCCAACAGTCGTGTGTACATGCCTCTTAACAGCAAATCTAATATCACGTGGTTCTCCACGGCGACGTCTTACCCTTCTACGGCCATCGTCCGTATTTAGATAGAATCGCGATTCGTCGAGAAGATAATATTTTGCCATTCTGCCTCCCAATGTTGACGTGTTCAAGCTACCACAGTTATGTGCTGTTTTCTCTATAATTTCTCTTCTCTTGCTGGCTGCAAATGATACATCTTGATAACCTATCATATTTCAGGGCTTCTTTTCTAAATATTTTCGTTTACGAGCCAGCAATGAATGTACATCTGTCAAATATATTAAGTAAACTGCTAGATAAATTATTTTGTTAAATAGGTACTTATTTTTGAATCAATATTACTAAATAGCACGTATTCCTATCAGTAATAAGTGGCTTTCCCTGTATCAGATGATAGATTATAATTCTCCTGTTTCTTTTCTTACTGTCTGTGATATTACTCTACATTTATGGTAAAAATATTCTTCAGTGTTTGCGGCAAACAATCAGTTACTTCCACATACACTGCTAAAAATAACTACCTCTATGTTTTGTAACACTAAAAGCTGGAAAAGGTTATGTTATTAGTTATTATCACCAGCTAATCCTGGACAAGTAGCCTCTACTACCGCATTCTGGAATGCAACAATCTCTGATGCTATCCACATTTCTTTCATTAACTGAACTCTTCGTTTTTTGCCTTTCAAATGTTCATTTTTTTTAATTTGGTCATTTTTCGATGTTTTTCTTTTGCATCACGCACATGCCTTGTCTATCACATCAACATTAAGCTGAGCATGAATGCAGAGGGCAATCGTATTGTGATAAACTGACATGAGCATTTTAGAGCAACGATCTCGTCCTCCATATCCTATGAAGTCTAAAATAAGAATATAAATTAGTTTCATCATACATAAATTCTGCTTTAGTTTACCTTTACTACATAAGCTTAAATCATACTAGCACTGACTTCATTCAACAGTGCTGGGGAAACTTGCATTTTGTGAACATCCACACTTTTGTAGGCACCTTTGCGTCCTTAAAAAGCTCTCCCAGCGCCGAAAATAATAAAAAAAATATAACACATCTTGAAGCTTCTGTATAAATTTTGTTATCTTTACATAGATTCGTAGCCCAACGTATGAAGCACAACTTAATTGTAATACCTATTAATAGTACGTATCAATAAGTTATTTGAAACATTTTCTACTGTTGTTGTTCAGTATAAAGAGCTCTTCAAGAACTTATAATGATAATTATCTCGCCGAAATGCATGTGTTCAAATGACAAACACAAATATATGTCTTGATGTTGTAGTTTGACGTATGATATTCGTGACGGCAGGCTAATAAAGCGTAACAACTTCTGGGAAAAATTACTTCGGGCGCTCATGGAATTAAGCTGGAAATGTGGTAAGCAGTTCGGGACACGAAGATCAAAGGGATTCACAGCAGGTGTCACATCTGTATAATCTGTGCCGTTGGGACCAAAACGTCGTTCAATAAAAAAAAATTCTAAACTTATGTGGTTTTGATTGGCCAGACAAACATCGGAGATTATGACCTCCAATATCTAGTTCGAATTTTCCAGCTTTCTCACCATTGACAATGATTCTTCGCAACATTTTTTGTCCCGCGGCCAACTATCATGTGTTTCTTTTATTAATGCTATCAAGAGACTGAAAGAATATGCAAAAAGTGCTATAACGTTTGGCATAGACAAAAATCACATTGGTAATGACCTGTTTTTACGAATTCCCTGCAACTATCTCTAGTCTAAAGTAACATAAATAAATATCACTTTGGACTTCTAGAGTGTACAACCTTGAATTGTAATTATATTCCTATACTAACCGCTGCTTTAATTATATCACCCCTCGTAGGCTGGTGCCTCTTCGTGCACCAGTTGGAAGGTGTGGGAATCGACATGGCCTCCATGGTGCTAAGCTTCTGCTGGAGGATGGATACGTCGAAGGTGTTGGATCTTTTGTTTTTCAGTTGACCTCGTCGTCGCGATGTACTTGGTTTATCTTTGTCCTCCTGCTCCTTCTCACATTGGTTGATCTCCGTAGCTGATGTCGAAAGTGAATGGAAGATCGGGTCTGTGTTGATGCATACGATGCCGGACGAAGCTTCTTTTGTTCCTGCAATAAGGATGGGAAAGTAGGATTGGGACAAACTTATTCGAATGAAGGATTCACTATAGATATAATTTGCTAAATTAACAAGTTGCCATAAAACATACTGTATAATCATCCATGCTCGTCTGGCCGCTAAATCGAACTACATAATATTTTTTGGAAAACGAGGTTGACTGGAGCCAAGCCTAGACTATGCTGATGAGTTGCCGGAAAGTACAAAACCAGTATGTTTAGATTGTAGCTATTCTTCGTTTTTTCGTTTCAGAGAAAAATATCGATGACTTTGTTTCAATCAAAAGCAAGTCTTTGTTTAGCCGACTCAAAATTGATGAAATTTTTCTCGAAGAGTTTCCAAATTCATGGCCACATAATGATTCTTTTCAACACGGTAAGAAGTCAAGTTAATGCAAGACATCCATGGCTTAATCACTGCTGATGAGGAACAAAGACACTTTTTATTACGATACGTACAGGCGCACAGGCAGGTATGTCCAAAACTTTGGGAAAAAATGTAGCAAATAATTTTCTTTTGATGATAAATATCTAGGAAAGTAGATGTGCTATGCCGCTTCAGTCTCACCATTTTTAAATCCGCTGCTAGATGGCGCTTCACAAACCAAACGAAATCTGTAAGTGTCATTGATGAGTTGGGGGTCTCACCGCTAGATGGCGCTGCACAGACCAAACGGAATCTGTAAAACATCATGTGTCATGACCTTGTCGCTAGATGGCGCTGCACAAACCAAACGGAATCTGTAAGTGTCATTGATGAGTTGGGGATTCCGCCGCTAGATGGCGCCACACCCGTCATCTGCCAAACGTCATGTGTCATTGATGAGTTGTGCCTCTCGCCGCAAGATAGGGCCACACACACACACACGTCACATGTCGAGTTGTCGCACTTGGCTGGCGCTGATCATGTGTCGTAGAGTGATCCACATACAGGTGGTGTGTGAGTTGTGCCTCTCAGCGCTAGATGGCGCCGATTTGTTGTCGCACCTGTCTATAGGATGGCGCGCTGGTGTCGTAGAGTGCTTCACATACAGGAGGGGCCGATAGAAATTTCGGGGCCCCACGGGGGCCGCTTACCGATGGGCCGACGGACCGATGGTATAACGTTAGATCGAGACAAGCCCCATTCACGTGGCAAGTGTGTGTGGGTCGCGCATGGGGGACACAGACCTTATGCGTGCGTGCGTCCGTGCGTCCGGGCGTGCTTGCGTGAGTGTGTGCGTGCGTCCTTGCGTGCGTGCGTACGTGCGTGATTGCGTGCTTGCGTGCGTGCGTGCGTGCGTTCGTGCGAGCGTGCGTCCGTGCGTTATATGCGCTAACTCCACTGATAGCAGGGACATACACACACACAAGATTGCAAATAGTGACAGCACACCGCTCAACATATCGATTATACTGTTAAGCATCATATTGGTAATAAAAAAATTATAATACGTTTAATATTTTTTTGAAAATAGTAAAAAAAGAAGACTACATAGGTAATAGTATATTTTAAAACCAGTGGTGTAGACGTTCACGCGCATGATAAAAATGTCGTATGTCACATGACGTCACACACGTGACGTAAATGACGTATGTCACGCACGTGACATAAATGATGTATGACGTCACATCACATAAATGAGAAATGGTGAATGAATAAAAGAAAAAGCAGAGTTATAATTATTTATTTAGTATAAGACTTCATACTATACATGTATCACAATCTAATTGATGTGTCTTGTATGGACCATCAATGACTTCACAACCGTTGTCGTTTGAAGGAGTATGGACATCCCAGCAGGGCTCTAGTAGCTCATCTAAAAATGTCGATGGAATATTTATACCCATAGTTGCACACGCATGTTTAATAAATATTCGTTCGAAATGATAATCGTCAAAATATGCTTGGTTGCATAACGAAGATCATCCAGCTGTTTACGAAGAACAAATGTCATTTCTTCTACTTTGCAGGTATAAACAAACTTGAAGTTTGATGGTCAGCAGCGATACACAAACAGCTATGTAATAAACCATATATGTCGGTAGTTTATCTACATATTCTTTAGGCACTACATACGTTCATATGGTGGGGGTAGTGGTGGTGGTGGTGGTGGGGATGGAAAATATTTCCACATAGTATTTGTGTAGTTGTGATCCGTAAGTACGAATCGTAATGTATATTCAGTAACATTTTCTGGCACTTCAAATGCCTCAACATCATTGTTAAGCCTAGTAGCAGTCATGTGCTGCTATCTTGAAGGCCAACTCTCGTTTTGGTGTTATTTCCATTGAAATAAATGTATATTTCATCCACTCTTAATGGATGTTGAACGTAAAAGACACCGTTCAGCAAAGCACATAGTACAACATAATTAGGTGTTAATGCAATCATGATTAACGGTTAACCAACACTTAGGGGTGCAATCATCCCATTTTATAAAAAAAAATAATATAAGTCTAATACATTTTTTATTGATATATGTAATTACAATATATTTGTATTTTAAAAATTGGCGATTGCACTGTCATTTCAGAATACCATAGCCACATCAGCTAAATGACTCCTGAGGATTTCAGCAAGTAAACTATAATCTACGTAGCCCTTCTCATATCTTAGTCCATGTATACTGTATCGTAACTTTATCTTTAGAGGCTAATGGACTATATTTTTTGAAAGACCTGAATATGAAATAATTGTGTGCGTATGTGTGCGTGTGCGTGTGCGTGTGCGTGTGCATGTGCGTGTGCGCGTGCGTGTGTGTATGTGTGTGCGTGTGTGTGTGTGAGAGAGAGAGGGGAGATGAAATTCCATTACACAATCATGTTGATAATATAGTAAACACGTGTATTGGCGGGGAATCCTTTTGCTGATTCAATGTCTAATTTCACATCTACGGTTGTCTATTTTATTGATTCACTACGTTTAGAGCAGCCAATAACAAAAATAGCACGATTTTAAATGATGGATAGTCAAGTAGTGCAGGCTTGAATGAGGTATTAACTTGGATAAAAATCTATATAATTCATGTGAGCGTCCACATAATCGTTTCTATCAAAGTCAAATCTCAAACGCTCATGGAGATAATATTGCCCATTGATGAGCAGTCGAACGTCTGTTACAACAATATGATCAAATAAAGTTGGATCCTGATTAACTATATCGAATTTATCTGTTTGAAAGCCGCTATTACACATCGTGAACACTCTATAGCAGCACACGTTTATATCTGCCATATTTCACGTTTAGCGTTAACTGTTAGAGCTGGAAGTTCGTGTAAAGACCACTTTCTGTGTGGTACATACACCGGTTTATCGCTTTTAATATTTTCTAGTAGATTCGCTATAATCACATCATTAGGGTAAATATGTTTTACTAGCAGTTTGAGCTCGTCAATTTCAAGTTTGGTTTGTGTAGTACCGGCGGCGGTGGCAGCGGCACCAGCAGCTTCAGTAACGATCATACACCTATTATCATTACGTGCTCTCACTAGACGTATAGCATGTTTCCCATATGCAGCAAATTTATAGTCATTGAAATAATTCAGTCATCACGAATAGGTGCAGAAGGATAGCTCCATCCTGTTGCGATTAAATGTCTTGAACCGTTAATACTGTAACACAAGTATCCTCGAACTGTGCTTACAATACCCGGATTTCGAACGGTGTCCAATATGTAACAAATTAAGTTCGTATGTACAAGAGTCAAAGAAAAACGCACCAGCATTGTTTACAAAGGAAACTGGTCCAGCGCCGGCAGTTCTTATTAATTTTCCTTTAATTAAAATAGCGGCATCATACATCAAAAGCCATGCATCACTCTGATTAATGGTAATGGTAATTTCATCGTTATTGAGAAAAGACGGAATATATGGTCTATATGTGAACTCTTTAACGCCTTGGATTGTATCATCAAATATCGGTTTTTCGTAAACGTCGAACACTTGACTTGACAACATCGTAATTGAGTGATTGTAGAAATAATCGGTTGGCTATAGTAAGTGTGGAATGCAGCAGCACGTCAGCACTCTTTGAATGACCACTACCAACTGATAGAGGATTAACTGGAATATATGGTTTATATTTGTTTTTTTCGATGGGGGGAATCACCAAAACCATTATAATTTTTTCAGCTCCAATCGTATGATGATTTCTTCTCCTGTAAAGTTCACTAATTCAAAATTTTGATCGAGCACCTGCAAAGTAATGTTGTTTACTTCACGTTGATTCACTGGTAGATAAATCAAGTTTTTAGGACTTTCGTTAATTGCACACCCAGCCTCGTCTGTAATAGGGAATTCGTATATGGTATGCGAAGGCCT